CCACTGATCCTTCAACACAGAGCATCTTCAGAAGACAAGCTGATAAAATTAATTTTTAAAATATGTATTATTCGATACAGCACTGTTCGATACGGTTCGGTTCAGTTCGATACGGGTACATGTATTGTCGCACCCCTAATATTTATATACTGTATATAGAGATAGAGATGGAGAGAGATAGAGATAGAGAGAGGCACCACTGACTATAACTGCCTCAAACTGGATTTATTTTCTTTAATTTTCAAATATTTTAAACATGAAACAAACACATTTGATACTTTATCTGTGAATTAGAAAATTTCTGTTGGCTTGACAGCTCTGAATTCATGACAGAAAAAAAAAACCCAGACTGAGTGAGTCAGTGCTCCACAAAGACATGACAGTATTCCAGCAGACCACAGAGGTCTACTTGATGCCCGCCAGCAGGTGGATCCACCAGTTGGCCTGGACGGTCCACCCGAGCTGCTCACACGCACAGATCTGTTGAAGGAAATGCTCCTTGGCCTCAGCCTCGTTTTGTTCTTCCTGGAGCGCCTCCCGCAGGTATCGCATGTCCTCGGCTGCACTCAGCTCCGGGATGCCCGTCAGCAGCATCAGGGAGAAAAGAGTGACCAGCAGGCGAGAGTGGGAGCGCAGCAGGAGGTACGCTTGGCTGCAAGTGTCCTGATCAACAAAAACACAAACAAGGATATTTTGTAATAAAGTAGGAGACTTGATTTATTCGGGTTTGTGTTCCTAATACTATGAAGTCATCAATACTGATCAGTTTGGAACAAACAAGAAAGGAATATGTAAACAAAATGCTAGAAAGCATGACTGAATGATGCTCAGATACCCAATGAAATGCTGGTCTCTTTGAAAAGATGACTCAGCTTTTTCCATTTTAAAACATAGTTTTTGAAACTACTAAAAGGCCCGCATGCTTAGAGTGAAGCATCCTTGTTGGGTTGGAGAGAAACTTTCAGGATTATTTAAGTGAAAAGAAAGATTTATTTGCTGCCAATTTAAGTGAGGCTGAAACAAGAGAAACGTTCACCTGTAGAAGCAGCACTCCAGTTGCTGCTCAGAAATGCTCAGAAACATTTATTAAATAACAAATTTGCTTTGAACAGCCAATCAAAAGCAAAATTAACTGATGGCATGTTAAAAGGCAGCACCTCAAGTATTTTCACATCAAAATCTTGACAGAACAACACCAGGTTTGTTCACATATAAATCAAAGTTAAAGACTTAGCTTTAAGCTAAAGCTAGTAGAAAATAGTCGTGCTTAATGTAACAATAACATTGTAGCAGGAATGTAAGAAAACAGTTCCACTCAAGAACTTTGAATCAATACTTTCTCCTCCTGCCATATCTATAGAGAACAATGGCTTTCTCCACGTTCCAGCAGACCACAGAGGCCTCGCCCTTTTTCTCTACTGTCTRCAAATGCTAAAATAAACAGGAACKGCAACCTTCCATTGATTAAGACCTGTTGTGAGATCCCTTTAAGTATTCAAAATGGCCGTTTATGTTCTGGGTAAATTTCTGTTGTTTGGGTTGTCTGATAAAAAAAAGAAAAAGAAACAATGCATTTTTCTAWYWTGACTCAATCACTGTGATAATATCTTGATTTAATCACTGTACAGGTAACCACATCATTCTGTATTTGTTCAGTCATTATAGCAGCAGAACCGTGATGTCAGTGAAGTGGGTGACACCCAATGCGACTATCTTTCAGCCAATCGGAAGTTTGTAAAGTCAGGACAAGAGATAACATTTTTATGATGACTCTTTCTGTTTCTACGTGGTTCAATTATGTCATCACTCATTACTCGCCATAGTTGTAAATACATTTAAGCTGTAAATAATTGGCTCATGGAGAAAGTGCCAACATAAGYTAATCTCATTTGTTGTGTCTTGATAAAGTATTATTGGTTCTGATAAGACAAGAACTCATCAAATCATTTTGGGTACATTTATTCTGAGACTGATTACAATAAAGTTACAGTTGTTCGTCTCTTTCCTGGGTCAATCCTTGATCGAATTAAGAGCGTGGTGCCTCGAGATAAGCTAATTTGTGAGTTCACAAATTRTCTATTTTAGAATATACCCAAAACCCCTACAACATCAACTCTTACTCTGAAGCGTTGAAAATAGAGGCTGTTTCGACCTTTGACCCTGCCCATCACATACAGGAAATCAGGTGTGAGGACGAACGGCGCACGCTCCCTGCTCACACCAAGGAAGTGCTTCCTGTTCCCCAGGATGTGTCCGAAGTCGATGTGGAACAAGTTTCCTGAGAGGAAGAAAACCACAAACATGAGCGAGTGTGTCTTAATACTCTGGTCTTTTGATCAAAGTTATTAAAAGACAGAAAAGACAGTTGTGWACAAGGATCTGTGTTGTGTACATGGGCGTAATTTGCAGGGGGGGCTTAGASGGTTGTGACCCCACAACAATTTGATCCAGTCAATATAACCCCCCAACATAACGACATCATTTGCTCAAACACAATAGAAAACACACATGTAACTTTCCTGTTGTATTTAGGTAACTTTGACTTGATTTCAAAATTTATGATGCTACGTATGTTTAAACACAATTACTGAAAATGCCATGCAGGTTTTTAGTCTGCCTTTGTCACCATACGGCTGTATTTGTTGAATCGTTGTCATTTTTTCTTGCCAGATTGTAGAGCACCAGATGTTAGCATTAGCAACACTGTAGTACTAATGTTGCTTATCTACAGTGGCCCATGAAGTTCAAAAACAGGCATGTTTCCTGTAGTTGGTTCAGTTTGAGGTCAGTCTGTGTTCACACCAGAAGAGAACCGCACCAGAATTTGTTTGGAAGCGACCACCTCAAAAAGCAAGTCTCGGTCCGGTTGTGTGATCCGCACCAGGGTTCACGAGTGTAATCACACCTGCATAAAAGGTCCGGACCAACGGGGGAATCAAAATCTGGTCCGTTTAAAGTGGACCAAATGTGTCAAGCATGAATACACCAAAAATCACAGTAAAAGTATTACAATGTACAGTATCTTAACCCCAAAATATCCYGAGTCGTTTCACAAATTTAATCATTCAGTATATAAATAAAAAGAATAGGCAGAGAGCATAACCCCCACCCCAATGGTAGACCTAAAGTTATGCCCTTGGTTGTGTACCTTGGTCTGTGATCATGATGTTATCATTGTGTCGGTCTCCTATACCCAGTACATAGGTGGCCACGCAGTAACCGGCACAGGACTTCACAAACTTCTCTACAGTGTTGTAGTGCTGCAGCAAAATAAAACCAAAGCAGTGTAATAAAAACATGCTAATATAGAGGTGAACACCTGAAATCTTAATCCAATGAAGGCTAAGAATTTCTCGAAGGAAGGCAAATTGCCAGCTGTCATTCATGCCGAGAAATCAGACCCTTCAGGCTCAAGAGCAGCTGCAAAAACACTTATTATCCAATAAACCAGAAACTAACAAGCACTCCTACTGAAGAAAAATTGTCCAAAGTGTGCCTTTGTGCTTTTATTACTCACTATTTCTTTAAGAGGACCCTTGGATTTGAGCCACTCGAACAAAGCATCGTTTCTAAAGGCCGCTGTCGTTCCTCCGTTGCTTCGTTGGACCTCAGCAATGGTCGCTGCATTCCTCACTATTTCAATCATGCCTCAAGAAAGACATTTGTCAGAAATCAAAGGAACATTTTTATCTATAATTTAAAAATAGCCTTGAAAATACATCACTTGTGAAGCTCTGGTGTTGTTACTGAAGGACTTCTTTCACTTTGAAAGCTCATTTTACACTTGTTTACTGATTTCACTTTTTAAACAGATCACACGTCAAAAAGTTATTTACTTTCATTTTGTTTTTATTTCATAAAATCAGAGCAAATTAAATGGTTTAATAGATCTCTCTCTCTAGTAA